ACAGAGAGAGCATGGCTCTGTGGGTTTCTACAAACCATGCAGATCTCTGAGTCACTGAAATTTCTTTGGAAATTCGAGTCAGAGTGATAGCTACTTACTGAAGCATCCCTCTGCCACAGCAGTGTGCTCTGTATGAATTACTAATTCTGTGAATCTGAGGGTAATGTATTCCGATGGGCAAGCTTCACATTTGGGAGCCCAAGCACCCCAGTGGAGTTACTGGGGAATGCTAAAGATTTCCCTTTGAAAAATATATACTGTGCAATAGCTTTGTAATTGTGGAGCTTTTAACTTGTAGTTCACAATCTTATATTAAAGAAAAGGATATTTGAAGTATCCATGTTGAAAAAGAGGAAGAAATTTTTCAGAGTCCCTTAAGTAGATCATTTTAATATTTATTTTGTGTCAAAACTCCCTTGGATCAAACAAATGATGTTTTTTTGTAGACAGAAGTTTCTGTCCTGCCCCATCCTGCAGCCTATTAGTCCCAAATAAACACACAGAGACTTAAATTAATTATAAACTGTTTGGTTGATGACTCAGGTTTCTTCTTGACTAGCTCTCTCTTAATTATTAACCCATTTCTATTAGTCTGTATATTTCCACGTAGTCTTGGCTTACCAGTGATGCCCAGGTCTCTTGCCTCCTCCACAGCCACATGGTGTTTCCCTGGCAACTCACTCACTCTCTGTGTTCCTCTTCCCAGAATTCTAGTCTGTTAGCACTGCCTATACTTCCTGCCTAGCTACATCCTGCCTGTCCAATGAGAAAAGCATATATTCACAGTATACAGAAGGACATCCCTTATCAGTTTTTCAAAATCATTATGGTGTTTTTATTCTAGAAAGAATACTTACTAGTTGATTTTCAGTAGATATGCCCAGACAGCCTAAATTTATAGACAAGAGCCTATTAAGCCATGTAAATTCCTTCTTAAAATGCATCATGTTATGTTCTTGGGGCTGAGTTTAGCAAAATCAGAAATTACCTTCACTTAAATAAAGCAAATGACATCTACTTTATAACACTAGAAAGTGAAAAAATAAACATGCATCATTAGACACATCATGCTAAATTTATATCCCAATCTTGAGAAGATCCTGCACATAATAGGTACCCACAAATGTGTTTGATTACATAATGATATATTTCACTATTCAGTTTATACCTACCTTCATGGAAGAGTAACCTTTCTTGGGGAGGGGAATAGTTCTTTTTTATTTTCCAATAACAGATCTAATACTGCAATTTTGTTTCAAAATGTTAACTAGTATTTTCATTGTGTCTATGTCAATATCAAGGTTCACATCACAAATACTCTACAAAAACCTAAGTTTTAAATCAGTAGAAAGTATGTTTCATGCATAGGGAAAGGATATATTAAAATGGTATCCAAGTATATACAGATTTAAAGTACTAATTCTTTTCAATGTGTTTATGCCAGTTTACTATACCACCCAATATACAGTCACACAGTCAATTACCTCACACAGTCAATAGTCCCAATGGAATTTAACAAATGCACCTAGTAATTTTATTTATTTTATTTAAAAATCTATCAATGCTAATATTTGTGATAAGTCTGAGAAGTAAATATTAGATAACTAAAAAGAAGAAAGAATAACATTCCAAAAATAACACACCTTAGAAACACATAGTGGTGAAATGAGCAGGGCCGTTCCAATGTCCTTAACCTGTTCACAGCTTCCAAGAACCAAGCTGCTCAAAGCACTCAGGGACTTTTTTCTGCCTGCCCAGGACTAACTCAAACTATCATTAAAAGTTTTTCTTTAGCTTAATTCTTATGTATCCTTTTACCTTTAACACAGGAAAAACTAATTCATTAACTAGAAAATTAAAAATAATATCCACAGAGTTTTCATGCTTGTGTATTATTTTTCTGCCGGAAGCCATTGAATTAAATGTTAAAATTCTGATTTGAAATTTCTTTTGTTGGTAGTTGGTAGAGATAAGCAGCCACTGAACACTGTGCCAACAGCAGTGTTTTGATGGAAGTGTATTTATACCAAGGAAATTGCTCCTGGCCACACTTTAGACAATTGTTTATTTGCTTTATTGGATTTTTTCTTTTAAAATGTCCTATTAAAAAGGCCTCAAAACCAAACATGACTTTTTCCTTTGTATCCTTTTTTTAATTTACACAGTTTTAACTGAACAACTTGAAGACATTTAAATTTCTCAGGATATAAATCTGTTGAGTTTTTCTATGTAACATTGAAGTGGTAATGAATAAAATTGTTATAAAGATTAAAAGAAATAATGTGGATAAAGTCATAGCACAGTGGTTGGACCATAATAAGCAGATTTTTTAATAATCCAAAATATGTTCCATGAGATTTGCTCATTATACCAACAATGAACTGAGTGAATTCTGAGGATAGTGTTTCTTAGGTAAACTTGCTAAATTTAAAATATTGCACTTCTCTATTCAATAGTAAAATTTAATGTGAACATTATATTCAAATCCATTTATTAAAAATAGATATACCTTTGCATTAGTATTGCCTCTTCCACGGATGTACAAAATAGCTAGAGTAAGGTTTTTTGTTTTTGTTTTTTTGGCTTTTTTTTGGTTTTTCGAGACAGGGTTTCTCTGTGTAGCTTTGGAGCCTATCCTGGCACACGCTCTGGAGACCAGGCTGGCCTCGAACTCACAGAGACCCCCCTGCCTCTGCCTCCCAAGTGCTGGGATTAAAGGCGCACGCCACCAATGCCCGGCTCCTAGAGTAAGGTTTTTTTTCTATGTCTATCTAAAGGTGGTAGGAAATTTGAGGAAAATTCTAGTAATTATATTTCAGTAATTATATATTATATTATTCAATATTATATATGTTAATCTTCACTTAGATCAACTAAAAGCAAATACAGCAGTCAATAATGCCTTATTATAATTAGTAATTATATTATAGATTACAATATTCAAATATTATATGTGCTCAAATTAATCTTCACATTAGATCAACTAAAAGCAAATACAGCAGTCGTTAATGTTGAAGATACGAAGGTTGCATACTGAAACTTTTTCAGTGGTTTGAAATTACCCTCTAGTTGCACTCTTTCAGACTCCTTCCTGTGACCCCATGTTCCTCTCTTTAACTTTTTTTTTGATTAAATAATGTTCCTCTGCTCTTACCAACTATTTTCTTTGTGTGAACTTGTCAAATCATCTCAGTCTTATCTTTTGTAATTTACAAGGCCTTTATGTAGCTCTCTGAGAGACTATCACAAAAGTCCGACTGGGAGAATAATTTATGAGATTTCCAATGAAGGCCCATTATTAACATTGTCTTCCTGCATTCGCAAATGGCCTCCCATTCATGCATGGCAGGATTTTAACTCAGTCGTCAGAGACAGAAGTGTCTGAGTGAAGTCTTACAAATAATATCATTGGTTACATACGCTTGCAGTGGCTTTGGCTTTTTTAAAAAAAGCATGGACTGTTCAAGTAGGTTAAAGAAGACTAGGAAAACATGTCTTAGGATATGTACTCATCTCTACTGTTCACACAAGTATTTCTGTGGCTATAAACATGGTATCAAATGTGGTAAATTTATATGTCCTGGGTTATTATCTAATATTCAATAATATGCAAAGTGAATGTTCTTCACTACAAAGCTAGATGAAGAGAGAGCATGCAAGAGTGGGTTTTCTGTTTTGAAGAGAGGTTAGTTTTAAGTGTTTTTACTTTACCAGAGTACTCCTGACTTGTGTTCAACAATCATTGGCACTAATGATGTTTATGCGGCTCAAGGAAAATTATGCTTTTTCTTACTATTTCAGTGCCCAATGTCTTTTTCTTATTATAACAGATAAATCTAATTACTTCTGATGAATTTGAAGAGCTGTTATTTGAATCATGAATAATTCCATTCCAGACAAAGTTAGAGCTCAGATATGCCCATGAAACCTAGCTTTTTATCAGCCAGTTGGATGCTAAGTAAAGAAATATTTTAGCTCCTAGCAGTTGGACAACTATAATAGAAAACTCCTTGTGTGTATTTTTTGGTATATACTTTGTTACATTAAACAGAGCCTTTAAATCAACCTCTTCTATTATCTAGAACTTATCACTTTCTCCTCTCCATCCCCTGTGTGTTCTCACTGAGCACTGTTCATAGTGTCTATCTTTCTTTTGATATCCCTCTTTGTATATTTCATCTTGCCTAAAGTTTCTTGACATCACTGAATCCTACACCTTGAATATAAAGAAATGATAGCTACCAGTACTTGAGTTCCTACTGTGTGCTGGATGCCATTGTAAGCTATTTTAGTCTGTTGACTTTAATCAGCCAAAGGAAATGGGTGCTACTATATTCTTAACTTGCTAGAGAAGAAATCAGAAGAGATCAGTAAGCAATCAGGGCAGTCACGTAACCTCTACCTAGCCAAGCCCTATACATCTCTCCATGAACTACTCTCAAGGCACCAAATACTCATTCCTTGCCTATGGTTATACTTTTTACATTTGGTTTTTCTGTTTGTGTGATTAACTTCTGCCCCTTCTACCATGCCACAACATATTAAAATAGCAGCTAGTATTTGCTTGATGAATAATTACAGTTGACATGAATTAAGCTTGTATCATGCTGGTCAATGCATCTTAGTACTTAATTCTCACAAGACTCACTAAGGTACTTACCACTTTTACCTCTACTGAACAGATAAAGAAACAGACAAAGAGAGGATTTGCCGAAGATAACAGAGCTAGTAAAGGATGAGACCAGTGTTCGCACTCAGAAAACTGGCTGGAGAGTTATGCTCTGCATAAAGGAAAAAATGAATTAATGGAAAATTAACTTAGTGCGCAAGGGAGAGGTGATATGTGATGTAGACAGAGGTACAACAGTCCAGGCACAGGCCACAGAGGCGATAAAACCCATGGAACAAAGCACGGAGGACATCCAACCATAGGGATGGTTGTCTGCTGCATTGGGTTAACCAGTTCTATTGCTAATGTTCTTTTATCTTTTCTCTTTCAGTGCCACCGTGGGCCTTAATTGCCATAGCCATAGTTGCAGTCCTATTAGTCGTGACCTGCTGCTTTTGTGTCTGTAAGAAATGTTTGTTCAAAAAGAAAAACAAGAAGAAGGGAAAGGAAAAGGGAGGGAAGAATGCCATTAACATGAAAGACGTCAAAGACTTAGGGAAGACCATGAAAGATCAGGTAATGAACACACCCCTTATTTACCTAGTTACAATCTTCAGTTAAGTCACCAGTTAGGGCTCTGTTCTGTTATGCCAGATGCCCATGGAAATGAACAACGTGTGACTACTGTTGCTTTTGTAGAGATGCTTGTTAGTCCTTTCAGTCTCCCAAAGTGTAGTGGGGAGCAGTACAGTGGGATTTTGTCTGTCTCTTGATCACACACACACACACACACACACACACACACACACACACACACACACACACACACAACCACACACACACTCTACACTAGCAGGTGTGGCTTCATGGGCTTGGCATAATAAGATAATTCCTGAGTGGGTCATGATCCTAATTAGTCTTAATAATAAAAAACCCAAAGTCAGATATCAAGATAGTGGGGTAAAAGCTGAAATATCAGAGAAGGACCAACCACAATCACCTCTTACAACTCTGATTCCTCAGATCAAAAGGGCAGAGCTTCTGTCTATGCCCCACCTTATCACGTCCTGTCTCAGTCCCGTGTTGTCACATCTGTCTTCTCTCTTATAGACCTCCAGACCTCTATGGTTAACTAGTGGCTAGTTCCACCCTCCAGTCTCCAGGAAAGCTTTATTTGTCAGAGCATAAACAAAATATCGTAACACTTGAGCAATTTTTATTCCATCTCATTAGCTAACCTTGATTGGAATTTAAAAAAAAAAAAAACTGTAATACAAGGTACCTGAGTGCTTTCCCTCCTGGACAGGGGCCCTTTCTGACTCATCCACTGCCCATGATCTCTTAAATAGCTTCATCATACTCGGTAATTACCAATATTGCCACACACTCAGCCAGCTTAGCCATCAATTGCCAGAAATAATGAGTTGTGTATGGTGAAGGGAGATAGGATCCAGTCCTAAAGGATAAGACAGAATTGAAGGACAAAATTATATTTTCTCAATTAATGACCATAATTAGAACCATGATGCTGTTGATAAACTATGTACTCAAGGTGTCTTTCTGTGCTTAGAGGAAATATTTTTATTGCCTTGATGTTGCTGCCTATTTTTAACTAAATTAGCTGGACAGCTTAGTCAAGGTAAACTTAATATAAAGTATTAAATGTTTCTTCACTTTTAGAATAATACTTAAATGCTTATAAAGAAAATTTAATGCATGAAAGGGAATGTAAAGATTTTTTCATAGAAATATTTGTAGTTATTATTTCCCATCAGATAATTTAAAAGTTCTATTTATTCCCAAATAGGAACATATGTAGAAAGTTTTTCCAATTGTCTTATATTATTAATTACTATTAACTGAATCATTAACACATGAACCTAAGAACAATTTGATCAGATGTTAACACACACCTCATAGAACATATGTGCAGCTTCCTAGTTTTTCACACACTCACAGTCTACCCCTCTTTCCCAGTTGGAATTTTAAACTCCTTCTCTAGGACACTGTAGTGTCTTTTGACAATAGTTTCCTAGGGGCTCACTTCTCATTCCCTGTAGCTGAGCTTAGTTTCAGGGCTGTGGAATAGATGTGAAGTCTAGTCTAATGCTCAGAGAGCTTAACCTGAGCTTAGGGTAGCAAAGGTTCAATTTCTCTGGCAGTTTCTCATCAGTTACAGAAGTTCATGTACAGCTACAGACAACTAAGAGGGATTTTTCTCTTCATTTAATTGGTTAAGTAAATACTCAAATTTTGGATTATAGCAAGTAGGATTTGATACTGATTTTTCTTCCTTCTTATTCATTTTGGGTTTTTTTTTAGACAGGATCACAGATTTTTTAAACATTTTATAATTAAGTATAGAAATAATTTCCCTGGATGAGCATGGGCTAGAAAAAGGATGTTATTTTAGCAATATCTTTTAAAATTTTGAGTATATAGTGCTATTATTTGTATAGTTATCATAAAACTCAATTGTGATTTTCTTGTGTCCTGGAATTAACACTTAAAAGCATTAATAAATGTTAAGGGATAACTATAGCATTCTTTTCTAGGATAAGAAAGTTATACTTTCATTTGTGGATTTGTTCTGTATGATGTAATAGTATAATTGATGGCACAGTGCCATTATCCCCATTATACCATGGATAAATGACCAAGATCTCACATATAGACTTTATGGTGCCTTCCCCATCTATCTCCTGTTCCTTTGGATGGTGAGAGGTAGAGTAATGTGGATCAAATAAAGAAGTCATAGGAAAAGTCAGTGATATATCACTTTATAATAATTTATTGTTATAGCAAAGTATTTAGAATTTCAACCACTTAAAATACTTTTAATTACTCTAAGTGATCATTTTATGTACTTCAGAGCATTAGCTAGGTATGATTTTTAATTTTAAATATATAGAATGAAATATAATTGGAATAGTGGCATCATCATTCACCAATGATAATTATATAACAGTATATGTTTCACCAATCCTTACAAAAATACTTGTAGCTTATGATGAAAAATAGCATGCAGAGATTTTAGAAGAATGACATGTCATGTAGTGTCCCATGATCCTCCAAATTATACTGATGAAATTCATTTTTAAACACTGTTTTCAAAATACTTTGAGCAGCATATCACAGTGAACAAGGAGAAGGAAAATAAGGCCAGTATATGGCTCTCTCATTTAAAGACAGGACAGATAGGAACAATTTTTGGATGTAACTCCTAAAGCTATATAGGCTTGAAGGCAATCAATAAGTTTTTATTACTTCAATCCATTCCAAAAGCCCAGAAATTCAAATTTCAATACTCATGGCTATGTATCTCTCTAGAAAGGTTTTGTAACCATTAAGAAATACCCTTTTAAAATTCAGTAATGACTTCAAAAGTAAACTCTAGATAATATTTATGTTCCAAAAGATTCATATTTAGGACTTTTTAAATATCTTGAATCTTGAGATCACTAACTATGCAGGGGAGATAATAGCAACCTATAGAATCATAAGCTTAGAACGGTCATTTCTCCATGGTTTTCACTGATGTGTGTGGATATTTTAATTTTTATTTCTTCCTTCTATGTCCTCCTTATCTGTGTTATGTCTCATGACTGTTCTGGACTGTCCCTTGCGGTAGGTTTCTTCTGCTACTAGACATTCCTAATCAATGCTGGTGGCTGGGCTCCACAGCTGAGGGCTTACCATTCTGACATCAAGAGGCTGAACTCAACTGATCTTCAAAGATGAAGTGTTTCCTTTTAAACATTGCTAACATGGGCTAAAGAGAACAGGATTTGAAAGTTTTACATTGATAGAGTGGAAAGAAAATGCCGTCCCTCACCCTACCAAATCCCATGTGAACAGTGTACTTTAGAACGAGCAAACATTTTTTTCTGATGACTGTGGACTAGGTAAATTTTGAATGCCAAAGCAAACCACAAATGTGTCTGTCTAAACCGGAGAACTCTATAAAAGGCCTGATGTTCACAACAAAGTTTTCCTAGTACAATTTGTCTGACTTCAGAGCTGCTGGATTTACAAGCTTTTTCATCTGAGTTTTTTCCCCCTATGGAGGGAAGCATACTGCTTCCAAGATATTATAATAGCTACTGACTTAATAGGTCTGAGTTTACTGTAATGGTACAGGATATATCTTGATGAAGCTCGGCCTCCGGGACAGGAATAGACTTAATCACTTAGGTGATGAACAGGAGCACTGAAAAATTATCAAGAATTTAGCCCCATTTCATGCAAACTAGTTACAGAAATGGCCCTGCACCTTCTATTCTGGCAAAAAAAAAAAAAAATATCACCTAGGGAAAAGGATATTTAATATCTTGGCATTGCATTAGGCTGAAACATGATATATAAGTTGTCAACTTTGAAAGGGACTTTTGAAAAAGTATTTAAATTCATGACTTTCTTTTTCCTATGACAATGGAGTAACAAGTAGGTATTTTCAGTCAGTGGATACATTAAGGAAGTTTCTATTATTTAAAAAAAATCAAACTATTACAGGGAGGCAAACTAGCTAAACTGTAGTTTTGTATACACACCCTCTATGACAGTGCCAAAGATTATGTAGGGTTCTCAGGGACAAATGTAGTCCACCGCCTAAAGTGTTTGAGCCAAACTCAAACATCTTAGTGCATTCATCAGTAACTGTGCAGGTCCCTGCTTTTGGTTTTACATAATTATTTTAATATTCAAAGAAGCACCCAAGTATATAGTAATCTTTCTAAATTAAATGGCATAGGGGTAGCCACATTTGAAAATGGTAATTTTCAATTTCTCAAACTCTTTGTAGACTCCTGAGATGTGTCAAAAACCACAAAAAATGTGACAACAGCTCAGCTCTGCTCAGATGTCTTCTAATGAGAGGGCAGACTTAACGAGCTGTCAGTCTCAATGCAGATGAGTTTGGGGGATCCTTGTAGGGTTAGCTGGGAGGAGCCAGACTGGACAAGGGTTGCCATTCTCAGACCCACTGAGGCTTACTGTGTAAGTGATGAGTGAAGGAAGAGTATCCACTCAGAATGACAGTGGCAGAGAAAATGTCCATGTAGGTAGAGACAGCAAGATGGCAAGCCATTGTCTGATGGGCCTGAGGCCTCTTTACAAACTGACTAAACCTCCTATCACGTGAGAGTTCTGGAAGATTTCTCAGGTCAGCTTGAAAGCTGATGGTAGTTATAGAACAGTAAAGAGTCTTTAATGTTGTCAGAGACATGATGGTCCATTGCTCATGCCTTATTTCAATTTGGGCGAGATTCTGCAGCTGCATACACGCCAGAAAAATAAGATAGCAGAAAGAAATGGCTAACATTTTCTCATTAAAAAACAAGTGGTGTAAAAAAATAAATGACCAATGGAAATGTACAGGCAGTGACCGGAACAAAATATGTGGATGGCTACTATATAGGCCTTTAAACTTTTCAAACATACTAGTGAATGGAGAGATGGAACTTTTCGTAATTTACAATTGTGAAGAATGATCATGCATAAAAGTGTATCTGTACATCCCCATAAAGAAATCTTCCACTATTATAAACCTTTGTAGTAGAAATAGCTGGAATAATTTTTGCATATTAGGAAAATTTTGTATACTTTGATTTCTGAAATGCTGATAATGAACTTTCAAATATTTTAATTTACATTCTACCACTAAGATTGAAGAATATTTAATTGTTTAGACTAGGTTTTCTAAGTCTAGCATCATGACCCTTGTTCTTTAATGTAAAATGAATTTTATACCCATGAGTTTTTCAAAAATTACAAACATGACTCTTTTTGTCTTTGATATTCAATACACTCAAATCAGTTGAATTCAGCCTTGCTTTCTGTGGAGCTGTTATGAAGATCAAATGGTAAAGTTCACCTGGAAATGGGGTGAACTACTCTCTAAACATGCATTTGCTGGCAGCATGTTTTCTTTCTCCTTCTTTCTTAAATGTTACAATCATATATGTGAAGCGCAAAGAATTTACATTTTCCAAGGGTCACTCAGCCATTTTTGGCACAAGCAATAAGGCAACAGAAGACCATGCATCCCATATGAATCTCTCCACTGCATGTACCAACGATGTTTTACATGAGGCTGAGCGCCTCAGCAGCTATGAGAATGTGAAACCCAGCCTCGATACAAGCATGTCTATCATACTAGAAAGAAAGAGGCAATGTCATCAGAGCCAAGAATAATACCAAGTTGACATTTCCTTGCAACAATGTTATAGTTTTGCTTGCTATAATCTGAGGGGGCTTCTTCCATTGCTTCCATGTTGCTTGCTGATGGGGTCCATGCACAAGTTGAATTTAAAAATATATTTGTGTGTAAGCAGCAAATGAGAATGTGTTAGACAAGTAGATTTCAGCATCATAGTGCTTGCTTCAAACAGCTTGGAGGTACCGCCAGTTTAATGTGGACTTTGATAAAAATTCATTAGAATTTCTTTTTCCTATCCATAGGCCCTTAAGGATGATGATGCTGAAACCGGATTAACTGATGGAGAAGAAAAGGAAGAACCCAAGGAAGAGGAAAAACTGGGGAAACTCCAATATTCACTGGATTATGATTTCCAGAATAACCAGGTCTGAGGGGAAAAATGTCTAATTCCATTTTCTGAAATTACCAAGTAGCAATTGAAGCAAGATACTCTTCTTAAAACATTTCCTTTGCTGGAAGGAGAAAATGCAATTATCAAAGCTATTGATGAAATCATTTCTAAGTACAGGCGGTCCCCTAGCTGCTAATTTAACTTCTGGTAATTAGAATTCACAGTGTTCAGCCGATTACATCTACTCATGGCACTGACAGGAGGCAGACAGAATACAAATTAACTCATGCCATCAGTCTGCTGCTGAGAGCTCCCAAACAGCTCAGTCCCAAAAGTTCCCTCAGTGTGAGTAGGAACAACCTTTCCTGAACTATATAGATTTAGATCCCAAACAACACCAGGGGCCTTTGGTTTGAACTTTCATCCAAGCCCACATTTAGAAAAAAAAAATGGGTAAGCAATAAAAGAATTAAACACTGGCCAATGCCCTGTCTTTTAAAGTCAGAAATAACCTTCTATGCAACACCATGATGCTAGGTGAAACTCCCTCAAGTGATTAGACAGTGATTCTGTCAATGCAGAAAGACCAACAGCTTGATTATCAGAGCCCAAGAAGGCTGCCCAGAAATGACAAGACTAAAGACTGCAAAACAAGCACTCCTACTTTCTCCAAAAGTGGTGGGATGCATTGTGATCAGTGACAATAGCAGCCGCTTTTCTTTGAGTAGCTATTATCTAGGTAGCTTCAAATGTGGAAAATGCCTTTGAAAACCCTTGTAGGTAAGGTCCCTAATGTTAATTACCATCCTTTACTTTCTACAATGTGAGAGAATAAGTACAATGAGCCGAGTTCAGAAAGGAGCCTTGACCTGCTAGGGAGTTCAGGTGCCTCCCACTCATTTGGTGTCCCTCTTCCTTTGCTGGGAGTGGAAGGATGGGAACTCAGTACAGTGGCAGGATGCAGCACGTGCTAGTGATACCCTGCTTGATGAGCGATGAGTGATAAGTGGATCTGACATTAATAGGCGGCTTTGGTGGCTAATGTCCCAAAGTCAGAAATGGAAGCAGCTGCAACAGCTCTGTATTTTGTTTTGGAACTGACAGTCCATGTCTTAGAAGTGGCTAGTATCCCCCTTGAAGGGTGTGTGGGATTTAAGAGTGCTTTTATTTGATCAACTTCACTATAGCCGTGGCTAGTTATTTCATAATACTTTCTGGATGCTTGCATATTGGATTTAGGTATGGTATGTAAGTATGTATTCATATAGGACAATGAGGAGACCATTTACATCTTATAATTAAATATATTTTAGATCATTTCTGCAACTTCTACCAAAATGTGAGCATTAGGATTTAGTTGGAAGCAAAGTAGCTTATTATTTACATATTCCAGAAAAGGTAAAGGTTAGCTTACATTACCATGGAGGTTTCCAGGATTTTAACCTGTCTTCATCTGGTATTTTTCTCCATATTTCCCAGTAGAAATCTAGTAGTATCTCATATTGACTAGGTATAATTTTGAAACTTCTATTTTTTATGCATGTGTACCACATGTGTACAGTATGGGTGTGGAGGTCACAAGAGGGTGTCAGATCCCCTGGAACTGGAGTTACACATGTTTGTAAGCTGCCCTCTGGGTGCTGGGACTTGAAGCTCAGTCCTCTGAAAATGCAGCAAGTACCATGTCTTCAACCCAACAGTACTTTAAGAACAGAACTGATTCTGTTTTACCCAAAAATAATGTTTGTTTACTACTCTGTTTTCAAGCATTAAGTCCAAAATACTCATTTTGTTATGATGGTCTAGAAGATTTTATTGATAAATATCATTAATTACAGTGCCCCTTGCTAGTTTTCATCACCACATGGTTCCTATGAGTTAGGGAAGGTAAAATCTGAGGAAACTTGTAGACAAAGCTATAGTCAAATATGAGTACTTGTTTACCAAAAAAAAAAATTTAAATCCTTGAATTAAGAAGCTTTTGTGGTAGGAAAATGGAATATGTCTCTCTTAAACAGAAGTTAAAGGGACATTAGAAGAAATCACTCCATCCTCTAATGACAAGATTTTCAAGTCTCTAAACTATGATTATCTCACTGTATTGAGTTTCAGTTATATTTGTAATGTTGCCCAAAAAAAAAAATCACTTGCAAAAAGTGAGAATGGGGAAATAGAATATTACTTATAAAAAGCTGAAAGACAGTGAGCTTTACTAATTGTGTGTTTATAGTTTAGTGCCTCTGTTAGCTCCTATTCTTGGACCATGGCTTTGTTGGTATACTACCTTTCAGCATTCATGGCTCCTGCTGAAAGACAATGCCACAAAGGAGGCAACAACATACTCCTTCAGGGTAGGACCGAAGTTAGAAATTGAGCCAACTAGTGCTCAATTTCCTCCATCCACATGGAGGATGCACTGGATCACTTTATAAAAAGTAGGTAAATGAATTGTTGTCCGCTCCTTTGCCTAAAAACTCAGACTCACATGTTCAGGATCTGTAGTAAAAACTGGTGGTATATCCACATTTACTGTAGAATCTGTAATAAGAGGATTTCATATTTGTTTTTCCTTTTCAAACATTGACAAGATGTGTTTGGTGGCTCATGCTTGGAATCTGAGTACTAAGGAGATGGAGGCAAGTGGTTAGCCACGACTTTGTGGCCAGCCTGAGATATAGAGTAAGATTTTTACTAAAAATAAACTAATATAATAATGCCATGTTATTTTAATATTCCCAGTGAAAATGAGAATTTTATTGGTGAAAAATGCAGTGCAAAGAAAATTGCTGTATTAGGAAAAATGAAAAACATAATTATTTAACATGGATCTTCAAATACATAACTCTCTTCCTTTTGAGAAAACTTAAATTACATATTTTATTCCACAGCCTACATTTAAGTGCAAACTTTCTTAGATAATTATTCTATCATAAGCTAAGGTTTTAAAAAATGTAGATATCACACAAGAATAGGTCAAGTGGGATAGAAACTTGAAGCCCTCATTTTTTATTTCAAAATATTAGTCAGTTACTAAGAAATTTCCATTTAGCTGCTCTGAGCCTTCAAAAAAGAATAAAAAATTCCCTACTTTGCAATTACTGACTAGTGGTTGTTTAACAACTTATCTCCACTTATAAAGCATGAACTGCAAGGGAAAACAAAGCACAAGAGCTTTTAGCAACTGGGAAGTTATTTGATTGCAGCCCTTCTGCAAATATGAACTCCATATTTAACTGTAATCAGCAACCTTTTAAAAGCCTCTTTTGTCCTTAAAACTAGGCTTCCTAGAGTCCGCATCTGTCATAATTTGGTTTCTGAAGCCTACAGAGTCCACTGCATTTGCCCTCTGTATTCAGATTCATGAGAGTAAAAGTTGATTAAAAGCAAAGGGAACAGGGGGAACATCACAGTGTGAGATACTGTGAACAAATCAATCTTTCTCCAAATGGGCATCCTTTGTTGTTGTTCATTTCAGCTGTTAGTCGGGATCATCCAAGCTGCTGAACTTCCTGCCTTGGACATGGGGGGAACATCTGATCCATATGTCAAAGTCTTCCTGCTGCCTGACAAAAAGAAGAAATTTGAGACAAAAGTTCACCGAAAAACCCTCAACCCTGTCTTCAATGAACAATTTACTTTCAAGGTAGATTTTTGGGTTGATTTATAGCTTTGCTTTTATTGTTTTTGATTAAATACTAGTTTCATCATGACACACATACAAGCATAAACATGAACAACTTACTCTAGGACTTACCCTAGTTGTGTTTGGAATCTTTTACAACTAAATTTTCAGTTTAATGAAGAGTTGGCATTGGAGGTTTTGGCTATGTATTTTCATAATAGAATGTAGACCTTTCAATACTAGAGTCATGCCTAAAAAAGCAAGGTCTACTCATGGATGCCAATGGGCTTTGACAATGCACCCCCACTGCCTCCAAATAAAGCCCAAGCTATTATTTTCCAGGGGTTCCAAGGCTCTGTGGTCAGAATGGAGAAAGCTGTTCTCCAATGCTTAACTATGCTATCATGGGAAGGTTTGAACATGCTAAAACCCTTCCTCATAGCAATAAAAAGGTACAGGCTTCTCTAACATCATTCCTTTACTCTAGGCTCTTCTCTGGTGCTCTTCATCATGTTGATACACATCAGTTGACAAACAATAACCAAGAGCCATTCTGACCATATGGCAACTCCATTTTGATAATGGCTTGCCCTGCAAGCCTCAAGGCACCCTGTAACTCTTTGCTTGAAGTCATTCATAAAAACAGTGCTTCTGATGGATATGTGGCATTGTTTTAAAATATTTTCCTTAGAATAATACATTTCTAGAAAATGAGATTTCTGTGAATATGCCAGCAGGCTGATTCAAAATTACCCTGTCCACCAGCCAGGCTTAGCAATCACACGTGCCTTGTGTTGGCAAACATTCCTGTGGGAAATGAAACGGGGTATGAGTCACTTCTCAAATCTTGTTTGCAATTTCATGAAAGAGCAGTCTTTCTCTTCTTTAAAGTTTTTGAGTTTTAAACACATAAATTCTTTACGTTTTCTTTGTGTGGACCATTAAAATAGCAATAATAAAAATAAGTCATAATTGGCCCTATGCCAAATAAGTTAAATATCAGTTACTTACAGTCTTGTAAAGTGTAGTCAATGGCATTTTATTTGGCTATATGTTAATCTTTTTAGGTCAGCAATTTCTAAATGGAACTTAATGGGGTCTTCTATTGTTTGAAATAATACTGTAGTACCTCCTCTTACTTGCATATCATTTCTTTGAAGCATATTGATAAAATTCTATAAACTTTTACAATGTCTACATTATTTTATTTCAGGAATGTAGATCAGGCTGTACATATATTCAAAGTACAACTATTTTTGAGGCATTTAAGAAATAGTTTGTAATGTCTACTGCAGAAGTCAACATATCTTGAAATTCCAGGCAGCCATGCAGTATAGGAATAGAAGCATAAGAGATTTTTCTAGATTGGTTTTCAAGTAGGGTTAAATGTACCTAAAATGAACAACATATCCAAAAATAAATTCATCTTGTTTCTTCTAAAATAAAGTTCCATTTGAAGGGGGTGTTAATAAGAAGTGATTCTTAAGTGACTACAGTGGGCCAGATGTTTAAAATATTCTCACTTCTCACTCATACTCAGAAGGCCTCCACTGAGTGCAGACTCCTCGGCTGGAGTTCGATAAGAAGCTGAGTTAGTTCATTTGCCCCAGACCCAGGTCTACATGAATCAGTCAAAATACAGGCATTATGTGTACTGTTCCAGCATGATCAAAGACTCAAGAAATACAATTTAAAATTTTAAGGGTATCTAAAGTCCCACTCCAAAATTTGTCAATTCTATTATAATTCAGATTTTTCAAGTTTATCTTAGATTCTTCCTAAAGTAGAAAAACATTATACTTAGTTTTTATTCACAGGATTTTAGAAAGTAACCTGATTTTGATCATAATTAATAAATGACAAAACACCCCTTAGAAGGCCCAAGTTTCTTGAATGTAAGTGGCCAGATAGTCTTTCATCCCTTTCCCTCCTTAACAAGAGTTAATTGAGAAATGTATTCTGGAGCATAAGGCAGCATTTATGCTGATAAAACAGCGCATGCACGTATGAAAACTGATCAAATATTTAGTACAAGCCTAAACTACCTCTCAATTCAGCATCTCTACACACTTACTGGAGTGTAGCTAACTTGGACTGCAGCTCTCCCTGAATATTAAAAATGCCACTAATAAACGTTCAAACTATAACATCGGTCCCAAATGTATTTGAACAGCTGGAAAATTCACTCGTTCTTGGCCTTTTGCTACTATTCATGCTAACAAGTATCACACTTACAAATGAACTTCAAGATCCATATTATAATGAATCTCTGATATTCAAAACATCAATTTTCTAGTCAGCTCATGTCAATCACTAAATTATTTTAGAAAGTATGTGAGGCACCTTGTGAATTTCATTTAGATCTTTGTAGACTACCAGCATAGCTTTGGAAAAGTCACCCTGCATTTAGCTATGGTCTAGAGCAGTGAATGGTTTCTCAACCTTCCTAATGCTATGACCCTTTAATACAGTTAGTTCCTTGGGTTATGCTGACCCCAACCATAAAATTATTTCCGTTGCTACTTCATAACTGTAATATTGGTACTGTTATGAATTGTAATGTAAATATCTGTGTTTTCTGATGGTCTTAGGCAACTCCTGTGAAAGGGCCATTCCACCCCCACAGGGTTGTGACCCACAGGTTGAGAACCACTGGTCTAGATGGTTTTTAAAAAGTAGTATCCATTAAACTGGTGTCTAAATGACTTGAAAGTTTTTGAAACAATAGTAACAATATTATTTCGCAAGAGACAGTCATATAGTCAAATGCAATTGAGTTTCTTACTCTTTCATTGATCATGAAGTATTTCTAGAATAACTAGTGGGAAGATCCATTAGTGATAATACCAACTGCTTCTAGAACCTTGGAATGAAATGATAAACCACTGGAATACTTTTCCATTTTCTCCCAAGTAATTTAAGTTCCAAGCAATTGGCTAAAAGACTCAATGGAAGAAGAAATGTTGTTTTTCCAATATGCATATTAAAAGCTATAGACAAATAACAGTTGTCAAGCATTTTGTGACCAAAGGTCTTACCCCTCACCTCCTTTCATGCAGGTACCATACTCGGAATTAGGTGGCAAAACCCTGGTGATGGCTGTATATGATTTTGATCGCTTCTCCAAGCATGACATCATTGGAGAGTTCAAAGTTCCTATGAACACTGTGGATTTTGGCCACGTGACCGAGGAATGGCGTGATCTCCAGAGTGCTGAGAAGGAAGAGGTAGGGAAGTCATTAGCATTTCTAACATGACAGGTTGTAATCCATTCACCTATTGCTGCTCAAATACTAAACCAGAGAGAGATGACCTTCCTGAAGGGGGACATGGGCCTTTACACACTGATACAAGAGTCCGAGGGATTGGATGACCCTGCTAAAATATGTTCAGCACTTCTGGGTGGAATTTAAAAGGCAACAGAGAGATGCACACACTGGTAATATAAGCAGTACCTTCTTTCAAAGGACAGTGAGCAATCATTTTGTATTGTCTACATGGGCTTTAGAGCTATTACAGTCAAATGAAAGGGGGTATTTTCCTTGATTATGTGTGATGTTGAAGTTTGTTGTTTCTCAGGCAGATATCAAAGCCTCATGGGTTAAAAAAAATCACACACAAAAGCTGATATTAAGCCCATTTGTTAAATGACTCACATCTTCATAGTACTGTTCACATTGTTTTCTTCCTAGTTTTAATAGCTTTGTTTTAAATGACAGTATTTTTTTTTATCATTTAAAAAAGGTTCAATATCCATAGTGCATTTGCACTCCATAGTAACCAATTCTGTTTGATTGTGCGATGCCTGCCTGGCATGGGCGTTCTGCTGTGTGAATGTCTCAACAGGATAATATTAGAAAAACAAACAATCCCTAGCATCTCCCTAAGCAAATCCTTTCACAGCCCCTCCATAGGATACGGCAAATAATCTCCTAGGGACCCATGAACGGTGTAGTCACCAGGAGCTCTACTTGCCAGGTTCATGGTGTAGGATTTTACAATCATACCCAGTGGCTTTCCAAAAAGTGCTTTTGCCTGCATTTAGGAAAATTTCCTGGTAGTCTATACTCACTCTTTCAAAAACTCCTTAAGGCAACACTAAACTTACAGGTTCGACCTAGGTAGACTGTCCTCCCGCTAGGTTTCCACTTCTTTCCTCTACCGTTTTCCTCTCCCATAATTTAAGACATTTGTCACCCAAATCATGGAAAACAACTCATTCTGAAAATAGTAATTACCAGGTCCCTGGAAATGTGCTACTGTGCTTTCAGTGAAAACAACAGGTATGTGTACCAGTCTCCAGCTGCCTCTTTTTCCTACCTTCTACCTGTCCTTGATATCACCAACTAAACTGGTTTCTGGAGAAAGACCCAGCTCACAATCAAAATTCTTCATCATTTCAATTCTAGCCAATCTATTTATTAGCCCTGGCACCTAGAACAAGTCACCTACAAACTTTCAAATTCACTGTTTTATTCTAAAAGGTGGTGTCACATTATCCACACTGTATATCCACACTTTATAACTAAGATTGTTAGAATGTAAAACTTAGTCAGGCGTTGGTGGTACACGCCTTTAATCCCAGTACTCGGGAGGCAGAGGCAGGCGGATCTCTGTGAGTTCAAGGCCAGCCTGGTCTACAGAGTGAGTGCCAGGAAAGGCTCCAAAGCAACATAGAGAAACCCTGTCTCAAAAAACCAAAAAAATAAAAAAATAAAATAAAATAAATAAAACTCCTCACAAAGAGTCTGGTAAAGGGAAACTCTTCAGTAGAGGAGTTAATGATTGCCTATTCTATTTCATGGCCTGTCTTCATTTTCCTATTCTTATGTATATCAACTTAACTCTATTTTCTCACCACCATTGTACTGGCTGAAAGCTACTGGGCATTTTCAATGGGAAACTACAAACCATTATAATTTAAAGTCTTAGAACACATTCCCCTTTGGTCTTCACTCAGACGAGTAACTTTGTTCCAGTGGAGAGACCATTTTCTCTATTGTGAAACAGGAAACTTCCTAAAATAGATGTCATTCAGCATGTCTTGGCATGACTAGATACAGGTAGACATGTTCTCGTAGGAAAGGAAATAAGATCCAATTACATTTCATACCTCAAGAGTTCCTTGTTCTCCATGATACGTGCTGTGCCTTTTTCTGTTAAAAATAATTGTGTGAGTAAACCGAAGTCTAACTGACTTCAGTGCTCAAGACTTCAAAAAACTATTTTTCCACTTGAGCTATTGTGTTCACGATTTCATTTCACCTATCAATGTTAAATATCACTTTCATGTCATAATGAGTGGAAAGATTTCAAGCAGCAGCTTTGGAAGTTTTTTTGTTTTTGTTTTTGTTTAAAAAAAAAAAAAAAGGTAACCACGGTGGCGGTGGCTATTCAGCCACAGACTTGGATAGATGCAGGCTAGACCAAGCCCACAGAATTCAATGCTTGAAATGTTGATAGAATGATGGAAGAGTGTTTTACCAGTGAAGTCATAAGACAATGAAATAGTTGCGTAAGCAAAAGGATGGCATGCTATTTAGTGATTGATTAATGTGTAAGCAGTTTAGAAAGGGATGGGCAACTGGCTAGAGTGAAGGCCTCCAGTGTGAACACACTACAGCACAGGTTCAGATGGGAGGAGACCGTGGGCTATGGCTCTCTCTAGCTCCCATTGCTGGTGAAATTTCCATCCAGTTCGCAGCTTTCCTCAAATTAGCACCATCCAAGCTGCCTATTGGTTTTGGTTCACTGCTATGTTTTCTTTGTTTTGTGTAATAGGACTGACTACCCCTTTCTACCTCCCCATTTTGCAAGAGGAAGATAGAATTTGACCTTGGAGACAGTCTGACCTTTCTCTCCAGAGGTGGCTATGTATAACACCATTAACTTTATCCTACTCTCTTCTCAGTATGTAGCCTCAAAATCATTCCATATAATCAACATATATGGTTTCCTTACACTTGGAAAAGGCTTCAAATATGAATTCACCAGGCTGTCTATGTTAATTTTTCATATTTTCCTTTTTGTTCAGCCATTCAAAATATAATTTCTCAAGCCACCCAAAGTCACATCTGGAACCAACCATCATACTTTCAGAATAATCTATTCATTTAGTATTTTTCCTGCAACTATGACTCCATTTTTGTTTTTCTAAATTGCTTAGTTTAAAATTTGTCTCATTCCTGCATCTAGTTTCAAGGACATCAAGGTGTTTTTATCCTTTACATTTTCCGTTTCTTATTTTCCTGCTTATCTCTAAAGTGGTGGAAGGAATTCACAGCAGTAGAAAACACCTGGGCTGTTTTTCTTCATTTGCACATTTGCCCCATGGGCTGCAAACTCTCAGGCCTCAGTGCTGTTTGCTCTCTGGTAGAAAGTAAGTCTGTCACCTCTCTTTGTGTGAATTCGTTAGAGTGCTTTTTAAATGAGGCTCCATAATCCAGTGCAAATGGGAAAAAAATTGATTGCTGAATTAAAACAAGTTGGGACATAATTTAATTAGTACCCAGGCAGAAGGGAAGAGAAACTACTTTAGGTCCTTAATGGAAAATCAATTTTGCAAGAAAATTTCACATTTTTGAGCCTAATTAGAAAAAACATTTACTTCACAGAAAAGCATTTTGAGAATACATATTCAATCAAATGGCAGGGTTTTCGGCTTCCAGTGGTCAATTATGCAGTAGTTCTTTGAAATGAGTTAAAGACATTTCTCACAGCATCTTTATGGCCAAAGATCATAAAACATTTGATGTTGTTTCTAAGCACATTTAGAGATTAGATGGCAAGTCAAGCTGTCAGAGCCATTCCCCCAACACATACCAACAAACAAGCTCTGATTGGAAATAGGTGTAATTGATATGTCAACAGTAGCCTTTCTTGTCACTCATAGACCATCACCTTTAGGAAATGCCCTGAAAACATGTGCTTACATCCACAGCCTTTCAGGAAGACAGACACAATATGCTTCCAGGTTGCAGCTGCCCTTACTGTTCCCACTGGGAAAAGTCTGGGGCAGGGGCAGGATAGACACATAGAAAATCATTGTTGTTACTTTTTGTTGACAATTACAAAAGTAACCAATTTGCTCCCACTAATTTTTTGTAATGTCTTCTTCACTGTCTCTTTCCTACTGTCTCATCACCTTTATATGACTCATATAGAACCTTATACATTAGCTTTAACTAACTTTTAACAGTAAAGTTTAAACAATGATGTAAGTCTCTGCTAGAAACATGAGATTTTACCCAGGGGAATATGAGAATATGTTTTAGGGAGAATTCAAATAATATGGCCCATACCCAAATTTACCATGCCTAGAAAATTTATTGTTAAAGAAATATATGGTATAATAGATGTCAGCAGTATAGAAGTATTTTATAGTATATTGGACCATGATGCACTTCAGGATCTTTAGTATCTATGTGTCCATTCTACGGGATTTGAAATATATTGATTTCACCTTATCCTACAGAAGCATAAACACAGCTGATGTTCTATGGCGTGTCTTTGACCAGAATTTCAATCACTAATTCTATTTTAATGCATAATAAATACTGTCAGTTTATAAAGTGGTTAAGAAAAATATTATAGAAAAAAAGTAAACAACTTGAAACACCACTGGAGTATACATAGTAGAGCAGTTTTAGAGACAGATAAACTCCAAAAATCACATAAACAAAAGTTTAATACTTGAAGATTCTCCATAAAAGTAATATGAATTGGACTCATTTAAAGCAAGAATTAACCATGAGGAAAGGCCCTTGATATTATCAAAATGCCATCTGCCTAGTATTCATTGCCCCTACTCCCATTGTCACTTTCTCCTACACTGATCTGGCTCCTTTGTGTCCTACAAAGATCTGGCTCCTTTGTGTCCAAAGCTTGCCAAACACACCTGATATCCTCCTGGTCTGTCCTTTGACTATACTGCACCTGCAAGCTTCCATGTGTGCACACAAACACAAATAATTCTCATAACATTGTGTAAGAAAACTAGTGGCCATAGAAAGTTCTAGTAGCTTGTCCCAGTCTCCACGACAATGCAAGATGTAAAATTAACATGCAGTTCTGAAATCCACATGCTATTTCCCTATAACCTTTTAAGAATTGTCTCTCATAATCTTATTAGCCTTCAAATATATTTAAAAATATATGAATGTCTGGGTACTGATTGGATAACCCTTTTAGATGTTACAATGTGTTGTAAATATTTACAAGATAGCAA